ATATTAAAAAAAAAAGTCCTGCTTAATATAACAATGACTCGAAAGAAAACGATTAGCAACAGAACAAAGATGGCGACGACACAGCTTATCTCAGGACCAAATAGAAGTAAAACGATAAATTAGTAGACAAATGTCTCTGAGCCCCTCGCAAGAAAGTCTTGAACAAATGACTGGATTCTAAAATAATGGATCATCAGAGTAATTAATTAGATAAGACAATTAGAAGAATGTTAGTGATGAAGGAATTAATTGACTAAATTGTTCATCAGTAAATAATATTTAAGCTTGAAGTTCTGAAATGGTGTCCGACATCAGCAACACTTGGGTGGATTTTTTTTTTCTTCCAATTTTAACAGCCGAGACAATAAAAATATTTTAAAAACAAATTATTAAAAGAATTTCGTAATAATAAATATGTATACACGTCAGTGCTTTCTGTCGAAGTTATGAATTTTGAACCTTCGTTATGTAATATAACAAAATATATGAAATTACTATGTTTGTGATTTAATAAGAATAGGCAAGTGGCTGAGTCATTAGAACGTTCGCATTCTGAGCATGAAACTCGGGTTCGAATCTTACCATGGTCAATTTGTCAGGAAGAAGACTTCCTGTTATTGGACTGGCATGTTTGGAAAGTGCCTGAAAGACATACATCGGTTTGTGACACTGAGCGCCGTCCATAACTGTGCTAGCACGAAGTCCCAAGTCATCGTGACCGAGGTTTTGAGTGTGCTGGCCTTGTTCAAATTGTTGATCATGCTAGATAACACGTTCTTTCCTAGAAATTGTAACTGAGGTCTGTTCAGCATAGTTGCAGTATAAACCACAGGTGGGCTCTGTAAACACAGTAAATAAATATAAATGCGCCTGAGCAAGCGTCTGCAATAGGGATTGGCTAGCCGCCTTAGTAGACGGGTATCCCTGAATACGAGTGGCCACAAATGTTATATAACAATCTTTTGAGAAACGTATTAGTAAAGGAACGGATTACATAAAGGGATTATTGGCTTTTTAGTTGTGATTTGTTAATCGTCACTCTTTTGTATCTTAGTGTATTTTTTCAACGCCTTTATATTTTTCATCTCAATATTGACTGAAGTAAAAAATTGCAGTCATTGTTTCCGGTACGGGTACACTATAAAAGTAATTTAGTTAATATGGCTATGAGATGTATCTTACAAATTCATTGATAAGTTGTTTTATTATTATTATTATTATTATTATTATTATTATTATTATTATTATTATTATTAAAGATAGAGATTGCAATCAGGAAGAGATGAGATTGGCAATAATCAGGAGGTATCTTCGTAGAAATTAATTTAAATAAAAACCGGCGTATATTAATCGTAGGATTCTCAAAAATTATATCTTATATTGATTCATTTTTTACCTGTATTTTTTTTCATCAAAATCTGGAATGTTGCAAATGAAATGTAAACAATACACGTAAAATCACATAGAAGTAACATCTCAAAACTCAAAGTATAAAAAATATGTGAATATAAAATAAAGACCTAAAATGAAACCAAACATTGAACAAATTTAAGCGCGACGTAAGCATTTGTGATTAGTTTTAATAAAAAAAAAGGGAGATCGAGATTAATTTAATGTAGCTTAAACCAGAATACAATATATACAATAAATATATTACCTAAAAAAATATCCGATTCTTTCTTTCAGTTTATCTCTTGTTCTTACTAAATTAATACATTAAAAGAATGTGTGATTCGCAAAACATGAGAAAACTAATTCAATAAAATATGAAAAATGAGTTGAAATAGTAATAATAGAATAATTATACAGAATTATGGTTACGAAAAGGTGAGACATGATGTTCTATTTGAAATTCTAGAAAAATCGCGATATATGAACACCTAAAATTTTTCATTAAACCCATTAAAATATTTATAAGAAATATTATTTCCTGGTTTAGGAACAACAAAATAAGCGTAAAATAGCAATAGAAAGGGCACCGCCGTCAGAAGAGACGTAAAATACAATTATCGGCTGCACGCGTAGAAATCATCATCAGCTTCATCATCATCATCATTTCTACTGTGCAGCAAATTCATCATCATCATCATTCAAATTCTACTCCAACATCTTTCGTGTTGAATACAGTAACAATCTTTATTCTTTTTTAAATCTAAAATGTTATTGCTTAACAGTTGTCCTTGTTATTATAGAGTACTCTAATGGGTGGGTTGTTAACAGTACAGGAAAGGTTTTAAAAGTCATAATACACGTTTAATAAATACTGTAAATATGGCGTCCCTACTTCGCGGAAATTCAGTTATCGCGGCCGGTCTCGGAACAAATCTACCGCGAAAAATGAGGGATCACTGTAATGATAAAATAAAATAAAAAGAGAAAGAGTTCAGAGGATCAAAGACAATACAGTTTTGTCTCGTTAATAACAATTTTATTCTTATAAAACAAAATTATTTTTCTGATTATGAGGAAAAGTACTTTTTTCTAATTTTACATTCCATCG